TTAGCCATTTTAAACAATTCCCCTCTTTCTATGTGCCGTGTCCATTCATAACATGGCCGATAAAGGCCCTCCACAACATCTTATCCCTTGTAGCTCTTAGCAGCATTTGCCCCTCTACCACCTCTCTCACCCAACTATTCCGCCATCCATTCACACACACTTTCCAGAAAGGTGGAGCGCTGACTTCATCTGCATTCTCTGTCCTCGATATGCCCTCTGAGTGTCAAATTCTCCAAAACCACCTTCCTCACTATGTGTCAAAGAAAAGTATGTTGTCTCTTTCTGATTCTGATTATAAATATCCTTTTTGTTTCGATTTTCATTAAAACTTCTCATTTGCTTACACGTTCCATCTATGTTATGTTTGGCATCCTGCTGTAAATCCAAATCTCTGTTGACTCTCCTTCTCATCTGTGAAAAGATTATGCAGCATAATCTTCCAAATTTACTGCTATATAGAAAGATTGATAATGAGGCAGATTTATAGATCACTTACTGAGAGATGAATTAAATTTATCTTAGAAAAAACTTAAAAAATAATAATCGTGGAATTAATTTAGAATATTAACGATTTTATTATGGATTATGTTTTAATTGTCTGTTTTATAACATGTAAGGTAAGATGCGCTGTAGAATTTGTAGATATCAACAAGAAAAATAAGAATATGAATTAAGGTTGCTTTTCGAAGCGACAGCTGATCATGCAGAGCAATTCCAACGTATTCAGCCCACACTGAAATTCTTAATGTTCTCTCAGACAAATGTTAAAACCTTTTAAAAAGTATTAAAAAAAATGAGGGAGGAGTAATAACACACTCTTGCAAGTTAATTACTGGAAGGTGTATATTTCAGTAGTTGCTCTAATAAAGATTGGTGGCGAGTTAAGCTTCGAGTTTTAATGAGTGTTCTGCTATTAAGATGTTGTACAAAATTAAAATGTACCCCGTCAAGTACCACAACAGAGAATATGCAACGCATTAGAGTCTGTTTATTTTCTTGGCTACTAAGTTAAAATCTTAATTTGAATGGAAGTACAAACTCAGATAGCATACCGAATTAAAATACACGCTTCAAGGAATTTCATCACAACCCAGATTTTTTACTGAATCAAAGTCTAAATTTCGGTGAATGAAACACTACTGAGATTGTTTTCTGTATTAAAGTCTTAGGTTCAATGGGTGCACTACTATTAAGTATCTTAACGAAAGAATGAGATTTAATGGGCACAACATCAGCGAGCCCCGTGCATCCAAATAAAGACCTTTCCACACTGTTCGGTCCCGTATTACTGTCCCCAGATTCCCAATATCCAACCCTAAGTTCCGAGCTATAGTGTCTTGGAAAGTCAATTTTCGTGAAAAGACACTTCCATAAGGATGCTATAGAATTAAGGATGAGACGATTTATCTGTCCACTCGGTAATCGTTTTTGTTTGAGATTAAGAGAGATTGGTCTCATTTCTCCGTAAATTGAGTTAAGCATTGCATGGGATCTCCAAGTGATGTGTGTTAATTACTAGAAATCCTATCAATAAATCATTATTATTCAAAAAAAATTATTACAGCTTAAAATTATTTTCCGGCTTTAAATAACCTACATAATAATAATCAATCAATCAATCTAGCAAAAGAAATTCCTGTTTGTAAATAATTTGTATATGTTTTGGAAGGTATCTTTTTCTATTCCATTGTGTCTTCAGATTTCGGTGTCACACTTTCCGTTGTCTATTATGACACATCCCAGATATAGTTAAATTCATGTATTTATTTGATTTTGGGGTGACCTTTTCGTAGCTCAAATATTCAGCCGTCCCTTTTGCTAACAACGACATATTGTCTTCCTACAATTGACAGCTCATTATTCCCTCTTGCCTTTATTACCTTCTCTAGGACTTCCTACGGTTTGATTTTATGTAATAATTCATGAAATACACAATATAAGGACTTTGAGCCATCGCAGAATGTCAAATAATGACAAAAACGAAAAAATGTATCAATCGAAAGATTAAGATAGCAAACATTAATACTCACACACACGCAAATAGATAGATAGATAGATAGATAGATAGATAGATAGATAGATAGATAGATAGATATGGGTATGATAAAAAAACATACGTATATGCACAGTGCTCAATGTTATAAAATTCAGCTATTAAGTATATATTAGTGAATATACATAATATCCCACGTCGATAGCACAACTCGGAGTTTCATGCAAACATGCAATCTTCAGGTGCTAATATGCACAAACTGTTAAAGAGTATGAAATTTGCGTTCTCATGGTGTTGATTTAAAATTGTGTGTTAAGACTTTTTTATTATTTTATTATTGTTGCTTATTTCATTATAATTAATTATTTATAATTTATATCCTTTGAATTCTTAATTTCGGAACACGAAATATTTAAAAAGAAAATTATTCAAATAATTTAGAAAAAAAACTGAATGTACATAAACACATATCAAGGGGAATAACTCTTTTTTTCCTAAAAATAATCTTTATAATGCCTTATGGAATAAACTTAGCTCTCAGGCTGTTAACATAATTAGAGGTTAAGACTATATATCTAATGCATTTGGAACCTAGCCTTATACTTACAAGGATGAAATTATATATACACATGTCATAAATTAATCGAGTACGGGCTATAATATGGAATTATATATGTATATCGATATATAAAAATGTTATTAATGATGGGTTCTATGAAGATTAATAGGCGTTACATATATTAATATTCGTAAAATCTATTTTGAAATATGTTTTAATTGGGGTCATTGTGCTTGAGCAGGTGTTTATTTTTATGTATACATGAAACCATCAACTCACTTCTCTTGTTCAGCAATTTAGGGTTAGCTAAGTGTTTTAATATAATAAGCTTATCCAACAAACACAAGTTACTTCTGTCTCCTTTTCCATGGTAGGTTTTAACTTTCGCGATTATCTCCCAGCTAATGGATAGGTTGTTAAAGTTGTCTTTTAATCACCAAAAATACTTTGAAAGTGTTGTTCGGTTTTGTATTTAATATTGTTCATGTCATTTGATGATAGCAGAAAAAAAACAATTTCCAGTTGTTCTCGGTGGAAGCAAAGTAATATTTAGCATCATCGTCTAAATTGATCCTACCTCTATAGATTATGTCATTTTTACAGCAGTTGCATTGACTTTTTAGTAGGATTATTATTTAGTATTTTGCTTGTGTGCTTGCTGAACATATTATTGTTATATTGTGATACATAATTATCGATGTTTTTAGTACAGCTATAACTTACCTTAATATTATTTTTCTTGAAAATCTTTTTTAGTGTAGGAAAATGACCAAAGTGTTTATGAATTAAATTTAGAAAAATTCAACCTCCATTAGCTTGGACGTTACTATTGTAAGGCGAGTTGAACCATATTATGTTACGTTTGTGTTGTTTTAGCTTACTTTTATCTTTATTGTTTGTTTTTTTTTCTTCTACATACTCTAATTTCAATTTATGGTTACTGTATTCTAGCCCTTTTGTAGTTCTATTATCATCCAATATTTCATTGTTACTGGACTTAGACGATAACCTAAATTGTACTGATTTGTGTAAGTAGACAAGGATCCTTTTATAATGGTCTGTACTTGTATGAATCCTTAGTGTATGATTTATACAGGCTCTTACTACGGTAACACCTGGGAAATTGGTCACTTTAGCGTTATTATTGGTGGTAATATTCAGTTTATGGTCCTTAAAGAATTTCGTTAGGTCTTTTCCCATCCGGTCCACTTGTCTTGGTCTCATTTTACAAAGGAGAATTAACCCGTCATCTCTGTATATACCGTTATTTTTCATAACAAAGATAAATCTGAATCTCTATATTAAAAGTATCCCTACAAGTTCACATGCTTCTGCAGAATCATGTGCTCCCATGGATACGCAAAAGTCTGGATCATTTCTCTTAGTCCACAGACTTCCGCCGTGGCATAGAATCGGTTTCTCTGCCTTTCTTATTATATTTACTTCCTGATCAGAAATATAACAGTAGTTCTTTGCTTCTTTTTTATATTATTGAACCATTCACTAGCTTCGGATTTATTTCATCACTGGTTGATACCTAAAGACATTTTAGTATACTTACACGCTCTTTCCATAATAGTTTTAACGATAATATTGATGTTATTTTTGGATGGGTTGAGCAATCGGTATTGTAGGCTATTTAGAAAATTCTCCTTGTGATCTTTAATAGTGATGGATGTCGGTTGTTTGTGCAGTTTTGGAATTATGCCGTCTATTTTTAGTTCAGTCGCTATTACTTTGTCGTCACGGTGATAGATTTTTTCCATATATATATATATATATATATATATATATATATATATATGTATGCTTATATATATATATGTGTGTGTGTGTGTGTGTGTGTGTGTGTGTGTGTGTGTGTGTGTGTTTAGTTGGTGAGATATTTTCAGGTTATTATTATTATTATTATTTGGTGCCAAAGATGTCACTAATTGTTCTTATTCTTCATAATTTATTATGAAATTGATTATTCTTGCGCCAAACATCTTTTTCTTCTTCAATTATCTTACATTCTGCTATATTCTTTCACTGTTTTCTACATCTTCAACTATTTGGATATCACTTCTCATAACGCAGCCGAAATTCAAACAATAGTTTCTTTCGTCTTTCCTACTGCATTTGTTCTCATATTTAAACATTCGTTGCCTCCTTACTAGGAAAGTTTCACAAGGAGTAATTACAACAGGGCATTGTTAGACAGAATTTTATGACTATATATATATATATATATATATATATATATATATATATATATATATATATATATATATTTTTTTCATAAACGTCTAATTTTATCTATCTTTTCTCTCCCCCCACACTTTATCTCCCTAAATATATATATTTGTGTGTGTGTGTGTGTGTGTGTGCATGCATGTTTGTATTGATAGTATCCATACCTACATCTGTTTTCGAATATATAAATCGAATATTTTGTCATAGAAAGGTTTAGAACTGACAGTGTAGATAGATAGATAGATAGATAGATAGATAGATAGATAGATAGATAGATAGATAGATAGATAGATAGATGTCAGTAATGAGAACTGTATAAAACAGAACTGATGTTGAACAATCTACACGGATGATTTGTTTTAAATCGTAAAGGCTTGTGTAAAAACGTTTAGAACAGACCAAGATAGATAGATAGATAGATAGATAGATAGATGTGAACAGGCCGAAAATATAGCTATATATATGCTATTTATGTGTATTGTTACTATTAAACAAATTTGGTTATTATGCCCTGATAACAGTTTATTCATTATTAATCTTTTACTAGCTTATTCATTTCATTCCTTAAATAAAATAATCTCTGATGGTAATAACCTCTGACTTTTATGTTAAAGTCATGATACTGAAATATAGAATTAGTTTTCAATGAGAATTGAACACGCGTTTAGTATCATGTGAATTCATATTACATCGTTGATCATTCAGCCAATTTAGACTCACAAGCCAAATGGTTCGACAGAGACCATATCTACTTCACATTACTATATTCACACTATAATGCTTATTTATTATCTAGTTCTAATTCTACTAATAGTAATATTCTTAGGATGTTTGATATGAATTTAATGAATATTCATTTTCAACAAGTTTCTTCCTTTTATGACTTTGTTGATTTTTCCACACATTCTGTACTGAATATACGTTGACACTTGAAGCAAACGGTGTCAAATCAAAATAAAGTGGTTTCCAACATGATTCCATGTCACAACTCCTAGAAATAGTAACTTTATTTAGAATTTCCTGTGGCACAATAAGAGAAGACGTCGTTCATGTAAGACAAGCTGCTCAGATATATAAGATGAGCATTCAACATTACATTTTAGTTTGATTTTATGCTGCTTATTTTAACGTTTTCAAGCGTATAAGGCAAAAAAGCGATAAAAATATGCGAATAAAATAATTAAATTTAATAATGTAAATCTCTTTTGATAAACTCAAACAGAAATACAGAATTATATAATAAAACTAACGGCAAATCGTAGTGAAGCTAAAAATCCTAACGAACTAAAAAACGAAAACTACTTAATGACTAATTCATAACTTCCAGAAATAGGTTATTTTGTAAATGTTCATACAGTAAATAATGATAAAAAAAGCTTTATAAGTATTTTGTGTAGTTGCCAAACTTCAATAATATAAACGGTAAAAAATTAACAATTCACTTAGAAAAACGTTTACAGAAATCTCTAACCAAAATGTAAATCATTAACATGTAAATTCCTATTATATAAAAAATTATTTAATATTTATTACAATTTTAGTTTTTTTTTATTATCTATTCACCCGAAGCAAGTAATTGGAACTGTGTGAAACAGAGCTGATGTTGAACTATCTACACGGATGATTTGTGGTAACGGTTTGTGTAGCACCTGCCCACACTTTTGAGAACCGTTGATAGCACTGAATCGGAGCAAAGGTTTGCCACAAAAACATTCAAGACGAGACCTCATGTTTTATTTTCACGGTGTTTGACCTCTCCAAGTATACCGATTTCTTCTCATCGGGGAACTTGCACCCAGGATCACAGAATTATATATATATATATATATATATATATATATATATATATATATATATATATATATATATATATTTAAAAAGATGTTTGGTGGTACAAAATTTTATCACTGCCATGAAAAGACAAAAATTAGTTTTATTATTATCACTCATAATAATAAAAAGTAAAAATGAAAAACGGGCTAGCTAACCGGTTTCGTGTGTGTGTGTGTGTGTGTGCGTTCTGTTTGACTTTGTATTATATATACATATCTGGGAGTATATATAGGAGGTTGAGATAGATAGATAGATAGATAGATAGATAGATAGATAGATAGATAGATAGATATTTTTAATAGTGTGATAATGACTGATACAAGTATTAAGATTTTTCCAATTTTGGGGGTGTTATTTTAAATAAACTGCACCCAGAATTCGAGAAATGTAAGGAAATAAGACAATATCTGTCCGTACAACCCAAAACTTGTTTCAGTGTTTTATATACACTTCTAATTACAATAAAACGCTGAATGACCACCAATTATTTATTAAGATGCTTTAAAATCATGTGTAGATTAGAACCAAACAACCATCGATCGGAAATTTCCAGAAGAGAATCAGAATCAACGCAATTTATCATATATAGAGCAATATATAAGCAATAAATAGTGCAAGGTATAAGCAATTTATAGAGCAAGATATGAGTAATACAGAGAGCAATATAACAATATATACAGAATATATATATATAAGCAATATTCAGAATAATATATAATTAATATATACAACATATAAGCAATATATGAGAACTATATGAGCAACATAAAAAGTAATGTATAAGTAACATATAGAGCAATATATAAGCAATATATGAACAATATGAGAGCAATATATAGAGCAATATATAATAATATATAAACTGCAAAACGTACAGGTACTGACGAGTAATTTCCATGAAAAATAATTGATAAACCTTACTATTTGCATTGTGAAACTCTGTTCATGTCCTTATATGAATGTATATTTATATATGTGCATGTTTATGTGTGTATGTTTATATATGTCTATGTTTGTATATGTTACGTTTATATATATATTTATATATCTAATGTATTTATATATCTATTTGTGGACATATAAATGATAAAATGGAAAACTTCATGGCGATGCGTTCGTTTCGCGAAAGAAATTCATTAGAAAAAATAATTTTCATTAATGGAATCAAACTTATTTATAAAAAGGAAAAATGGTTGGGAAAGAACTACAACAAATACCTGTTACACACTTTACATCGAAAAAGGTTTTCTATCTTGTCATTTATTTGCTCATTATTATCATATTTTTCTATGTGGATGTGTATGCTTGTGTTGTTTACGTCTCCGTGTGTGTGTGTGTGTGTGCGCGCGTATATGTGTGTGTGTGATTATGTGCATATATAAAGATATATCGCACAACAGAAATCATATAAGATTAGCTAGGATTTTATAAGCCAGTTCTCATCCGAGATAAATGTTTATATTAAGATAAAGTGAGATGTGTAAAAAGAGTATGAATGGTATATTTCCTGGCGAATATGTTAAACAATAGAAAATAAGCAAAATTTAGAGCAAAACCAATACAGTCTAGAATAAAAAGAATTAAAGGTAAGATATGTCTGGAGCTTCACGACGAAAGGCAGACAGAAGGAATATGTGTGATGAATACAAATTCATTTCAAAACCTTACAACAATTCGAATTAAACTGGAAAGGATTTTATATCGGCAGTCAAAGGATTTAGAGGCGAAATATAAATTTCATTAGGTCTGGAGCTTTCAAACGACTTGTAAAAGGAAAGATAAAATTAAACAATTTATTTCTTATTAGTATAAACTTTATTTTTAGTGGATACACATATTTGAGTTGCTATCTCTGTTATTTTTTGTTTTTGTCTTTGTTTTTTTTTTGGGGGGGGGGTTCTTAAACAGTGAAATTAATAAGAATTGGCCAAGGTTGAGAATTCCTACTACAGCAAGTGTTACTCTCAGATAGGAGCTAAACCTGTATCGCCTTTTCCATTAGAGAAATCGCTTCTATAACCGCAATGTGCCTTTTAACAATTTGACCAATGAAGCCGCCTTGATAGGGAAAGGTTTTAAGGAAAGCACATTTCTCATTGGGACTTCTATGGATCTATATCTACTAGCTTCATTTTTGTAAACAAATGTATTATCAATTCTTATTACTATAAACGTTATTTTTACTGGGTACACGTATTTGAGTTGTTATCCTTATTTTTTCTTGTTTGTTTTTATTTTCTTTAACAGTGAAATTAATAACAACCGGCCTAGATTGAGACGGTCCTAGTAGAGAAAGATTGTACTTTCAAAAGGAATCTAACCCGTGCTCCCTTTTCCATCAGGGAAATCGTTTCTATAATATGCATACCTAAAATAGGTAATACAAATATCGCCCTATACGGCTATAGAAACGGTTTTCAAGTTGGAAAATGGGACGCAGGGACAATTTTTCTTTACTATAAGTTTACAATGATGTTCACTATGTACAAGACACGAGGGCCACTCGAGGTAGAGAGGTACAAAGTAATAGGTACAGCTTATGCGGATATGTGTAGAAGATAACGGCTATAGCCCTAGATTTTAACAGGTTAAGATTGTGATGATCGGGGAAGCATCTTCTTGAAAGTCGGTTCCACAAGGCAGTGGTTCGGGGGTAAGAAGCTGATCGAATGTAACTTACATTTCATCAAAGTTATACGAAGAAATGTGTGTGGCATGGCGAGTCTTAGCAGTGAAGGTTAGGACTGGTGGAACTAAGGAATGAAATTTGAGCACTTTCCATGTAAATGGGAACAGATTAGCGGAAAGCTTGCGTCGTCTCGCCTCTGAGAAAGGGGTAGTACGGTATAAAATAATTCATCCCCTACAAGGATGCACAGATGCTTTTGGACTCTATCAAGAGTGGAAAGTGAAGACTGGACAGCTCATGCCCATACATGGCAGCAGTACTGCATTTTCGGTCAGATCTGGTTGCTGTAAAGGTAGAGGATAGCAACAACAACAAAAAAAGTCAGATACTTGCAGGAGCGGGTACAGGGAACCGACCATTTTTCAAGCATCTTTAGCGATGAATCGCATGTTTCGTCTGTAAGGAAGGGATTATGGGTAGAAAATAATTCGTTATTCACAAAGACACAGAGTCGGTTTTGGACTTTATCAAGACTGGAATATGTAGACTTAGCAGTTCTTGCCCATATATACCAGTACCTTATTTTCGGTTTGATCTAGCTCTTGTAAAACTGTACAATAGCAGGAGGAGGGGGTCAAGTAATTACTGGAGCGGGTACAGGGAACTGATCATTTTCACAGCAACGATGAGTTTAAGTCCCAATAGGCATCACAAGGTACAGGGGTGCTCACCTCAGAGAACATCCTTTAATTGCGATTGGTGAAATTTCTGGTTCCGATCGGTAATGGCTGAATGTCACTAGTTTGGTTTTCGAGACACTGAATATGACCAGGAAGTTTACCCCTACTGAGCTGTTAGAGCTAGATCAGAAAGGAAATCAGCTGCCAAGCTCTGCTCATCAAGAGTTTTGGAGGTGCACCCATTTGGAGGTGCAACGTTTTTAGTAATAAGAATAATGTTAGATAACAATCCATTCAAAAATTGCACCCGCCTGTAAAACTTGTGATAAAGAAAAAAACTGACTGAAACACAACTGTATTCAAAACTTTGATCTTTGAATTTCATATATTATAGCATGACAAATATATCACCCAGTGAGCAGAGAGAGGGAGAAAGTAAACCATCAATATAACGTGGCACAAAGTACTGCAGAATGCGTGTATTTCTCAAAGTAGTTGCAAAGAACAGGATATCAAATCGTTAACAGAGTATGGATATGGGGGAAAATGTGGATGGCCTTGCAATAACTGAAAAGAGAAAAGTAGAGGTTAAGCTATTCCCACGGCGTAGATTCAAACAAATAAAAAGACGAGAGGTAATGAATAGTGTAAGACTACGATAGCTCCGATTAGCGAATTGCTTAACTGAATAGATGTGAGGGAGTAATAGTATCAACCTGTCTCACAGATGACTACCTCCTTTAGTCCAGCTGATTACCTTCGATAACCATAGCGAAACCAACTCTTGTCCGTCTCTATAGCAGAGTAACGCATCGAATGACGGCGGTTGGTGTATCTGGCGGCGATGCAAATTGAAGGCAGACAAAACATGTGACATATATGAATATTTGTAGATATATATATGAAGTGCAAACCTAACATTTGAATGTTGTACCGACTTTTGAATCTACCTATTGTGATCAGTATCCATTGTGGGTTAGTGCGCAAACAGCCTCACATGGTTACTTCCAAGTAGATGGTGAAAACTATCTTTTAACATTAGTAAATATTTTCATGCTCCTATTCGTCGAACATTTTATTAACAACTAATATATGAATGAGTGTATATTTGGTTGTTTGTGTTTCTATTTTTCTGTATAGGTGTATGTGTAAATAGTTGTCTTTTGTATATGTGTGTACATATTCATATTCTTATATGTATGTATGTGTGTATGCGTGTGTGCGATAGCGAGAGTGCTTGCGTACGTATCCAATACAGAGTGAAGATGTATAAATGGAAACAAAACTAGTTATTGGGGTTAGCGTTATTAAGGTGGTGGGCGAGAATAAAAATATCAAGAGAATAAAAATACGATTGTTTTTACGTGCGCGTGTTTGCTGTGTAAATGAAATTGACAGAGACATAGAAAGAGAGATAGAAGAAGAAGAAGAAGAAGAAGAAGAAGAAGAAGAAGAAGAAGAAGAAGAAGTCTGGGATGGGCAAAGACAAAAAAATACAAGGAAATAGAGAAAAGTCATTGGGATGAAAATAAGAAAGGGACAAAGAAAGTTAAGAATACAGAAGATGAGTGGCGGAGGGAGTGACAAATATTTGGTGGAGTGACTAAGCATTCCGCCTTCTACCGCTCAATAACTGATGGAATGCAGTAATGTATATTCCCTGAGCAGAATCTGTATGGCCCATCGCTTCCAGCTGGCAAACTATTTACCAGTTCTGGCACGTGTTTTTGTTACAGTAGCTAGCATTCCATCGTCTGAGTAAATTCGACCATTATATATACCCAAACAGATAAGACGCGTGATAGTTTGACTCTAATAGGAAACCAGCCGGCCGACACCCCACAGACGCGTACAAGAACGGACATAATGTTCGTAATAATTTGTGTTTTCCTTCTTGCCACTTCCCGACACCCCTTATTCATCTAGCATCACCAAAATGTACTTCTTTTCTTCCTCATCCTGTTTCTTCGTTTACCAATTGTTTTCTCTTTCTTCTGTTAATTTTCCGCCTACCACTACTCATTCTTCTTCTTCTTCTTCTTTTTCTTCTTCTTCTTCTTCTTCTTCTTTTTCTTCTTCTATCTGAACCTCCTAATTTACTTCATATTTTTTTCATTCTCAGCTTTTTGTTGCCTTCTCTTTCGTTTTCTTCTGTTCCCGATCCTTCTTTTTGACAATCCTTTTACAACAGCTGATATCTTTTTAACTTTTCTTCTTTTCATTCATTCTATTACTCATGTTATTGTTTTTTTTTCATATTCTAAATTCTTCTTCTACTTATTGCCCTTTTTCATTTTTCTATTTCGTTGATACTCTGACAAAGATTCCTTTTTTCTTTCATTTAGTGAAATTTCTTTCATTCAAGTTATTATTATTGTTATTATTATTATTTAGAACCAAAGATCTTCGTCTTGATGTTCTCTTGCTCCTCATATTCTTCATTTATCGAACATAGTCGTCATTTCTTCTTTTTCTTCTTCAATTATCTTACATTCTGCTATATTCTTTTACTGTTTTCTACATCTTCAACTATTTGGATATCACTTCTCATAACGCAGCCGAAATTCAAACAATAGTTTCTTTCGTCTTTCCTACTGCATTTGTTCTCATATTTAAACATTCGTTGCCTCCTTAGTAGGAAAGTTTCACAAGGAGTAATTACAACAGGGCATTGTTAGACAGAATTTTATGACTATATATATATATATATATATATATATATATATATATATATATTTTTTCATAAACGTCTAATTTTATCTATCTTTTTCTCTCCCCCGCACTTTATCTCCCTAAATATATATATTTGTGTGTGTGTGTGTGTGTGTGTGTGTGTGTGTGTGTGTGTGTGTGTGTGTGTGCGTGTTTGTATTGATAGTATCCATACCTACATCTGTTTTCGAATATATAAATCGAATATTTTGTCATAGGTTTAGAACTGACAGTGTAGATAGATAGATAGATAGATAGATAGATAGATAGATAGATAGATAGATAGATGTCAGTAATGAGAACTGTATAAAACAGAACTGATGTTGAACAATCTACACGGATGATTTGTTTTAAATCGTAAAGGTTTGTGTAAAAACGTTTAGAACAGACCAAGATAGATAGATAGATAGATAGATAGATAGATAGATAGATAGATAGATAGATGTGAACAGGCCGAAAATATAGCTATATATATGCTATTTATGTGTATTGTTACTATTAAACAAATTTGGTTATTATGCCCTGATAACAGTTTATTCATTATTAATCTTTTACTAGCTTATTCATTTCATTCCTTAAATAAAATAATCTCTGATGGTAATAACCTCTGACTTTTATGTTAAAGTCATGATACTGAAATATAAATTAGTTTTCAATGAGAATTGAACACGCGTTTAGTATCATGTGAATTCATATTACATCGTTGATCATTCAGCCAATTTAGACTCACAAGCCAAATGGTTCGACAGAGACCATATCTACTTCACATTACTATATTCACACTATAATGCTTATTTATTATCTAGTTCTAATTCTACTAATAGTAATATTCTTAGGATGTTTGATATGAATTTAATGAATATTCATTTTTCAACAAGTTTCTTCCTTTTATGACTTTGTTGATTTTCCACACATTCTGTACTGAATATACGTTGACACTTGAAACAAACGGTGTCAAATCAAAATAAAGTGGTTTCCAACATGATTCCATGTCACAACTCCTAGAAATAGTAACTTTATTTAGAATTTCCTGTGGCACAATAAGAGAAAGACGTCGTTCATGTAAGACAAGCTGCTCAGATATAAAGATGAGCATTCAACATTACATTTTAGTTTGATTTTATGCTGCTTATTTTAACGTTTTCAAGCGTATAAGGCAAAAAAGCGATAAAAAATATGCGAATAAAATAATTAAATTTAATAATGTAAATCTCTTTTGATAAACTCAAACAGAAATACAGAATTATATAAAAAACTAACGGCAAATCGTAGTGAAGCTAAAAAATCCTAACGAACTAAAAAACGAAAACTACTTAATGACTAATTCATAACTTCCAGAAATAGGTTATTTTGTAAATGTTCATACAGTAAATAATGATAAAAAAAGCTTTATAAGTATTTTGTGTAGTTGCCAAACTTCAATAATATAAACGGTAAAAAATTAACAATTCACTTAGAAAAACGTTTACAGAAATCTCTAACCAAAATGTAAATCATTAACACGTAAATTCCTATTATATAAAAAATTATTTAATATTTATTACAATTTTAGTTTTTTATCGATAATAAATAATATCGATTTTAGCGATAATACCACTAAAACGCAAGAGGCTAATGGGTGTGAAAGAATATGAGATGTTAGAAGAAACCGGAAACCCAATATTAAATAGGTAACAAAGGATAAACTTCTATTTCTGTTCAAAAGTCCGGGGAGGAGTGTGAACTGGGCTAGTCGAATATATCTACTCATATTAAGGAGAAAAAATAGTAAATAACATTTCAGAGATGTTAGAAGTATAGAGTTAAAGTAGATTTTATAAGGAACCGGAAACAAAATCTTACACTGAAAATAAGGGATAAACCTCTACTCCTGCTCAGAATGCCGGAAAGGTGTGTGAACCCGACGATAAGGTGAAACTATCTACTCCTAGTGAGGATAAAAATAATAAAAGTAAATAGTAAATTAAATGTTAGAGTTCAAGCAGAGACGTTAGAAGTATATAATTGGAATATGCGTTAGAATGAACCGGAAACCCAATCCTAAGCAGGAAACAAAGGATAAACCTCTGCTCCTGTTCAAAAGGCCGGAGTGGAGTGTAACCGAAAGATAAGAGAACCTATCTACGCCTATTGACGAGAAAAAATAAAAATAAATAAAATAACAGAAATCAAAATTACAAAGTTTAGACGGAAACGTTGCGTATAAGAAAAAAGTGATAAAAGATAGAAGAAAAATAAGATAAAACAATGAATGACTGGTGGTGTTCCAGGTGTGGGATTAATATTAAATATTTGTAGTTATAGAGCTCAGGAATCTGGTAGCCCATTATTACCTATTACGTTTTAACTTAGTATATGTTGTAATATCTCTTTTCAACTAAAATAAAAACGCGTACAAAATTAATTTACTCTTCTCACAAAAGAGATTTTCCTGATACTTATTTTAAGGTTGGTACGCTAAAGAGACTCTTTAACAGATTCGTCAGTCACTGAAGTTACCAATAAGATTGAAAATAGAATAAATGCAGCTATCTGTGGACAAATATTTTTTAAATGAATCAAAATTAAAAAGTACAATTTAAGAACAATTTCAAGAAGTAGACTTGTACAGGAAGAAAGAATATTAAGAAAGGATAAAGCCGTACAAGAATGGTAAAATATAACCAAGTATAATGTTAGGCAAGTTCAAAAAAATTCCACAAAAGTGAAATCCTCAGGAAATGACAAAATATCCAATTTTTGGCTCTATCATCTGTTATAAATCCATAAAACTCTTGCGCAAACTTTATTAATGATAATTAATATCCCCAACGACATTCTAGAATGAATCCCTGATGGCATTATATATCTCCTACAAAAAAAACAAAAAAGTGGTGAAACATGATTAAAAATTATAGGCCAATGACATGTCTGTTCACCACATATAAAGGATCATCACGTCTGTACTGATGAAATGTACTTACTCTTTACTCAATGAAAACAATATTCTTCCCCTGGAACAGAAGGGGTGCTGAAGAGGTTCACATGGTTGCAATATGGTCAATACTCTGCTGGTACCAAACAAGCTGATGTAAACAAAGCCTTATTTTATTTTTCAATAAAACAGGTATTGGAAAATTGCAAGAGGTAGGAATCTCAACATAGCTTGACAGTCTTTGATAGTGTACCATACTCTTGGTACCTTAACGCTTTAGAAATGTATCAAGTCTCCTCGTTGATAATAAATTTTCTTAAATATAGCATAGAACCGTGGAAAAACTACATTATATCTAAATCACACCAAAGCCACTGCCACCTACAATTGTTTGAATATCCGACGAGGAATATTTCAGGAATCTTTCCCTGTTGATCCTTCTTTCCTATCTGTACTTAATCTCCCCGCCTTTTGCATGAAATAAACAGTAATAATAACTATGGATACAAAATAAAAAAGAAAGTGTTTAATCACCTATTTTACATGGATGATATCAAAATCTTTTTCAAAGACGACAATAAGTTGAAAGGTATCCTCAGTACTGTAAAATTAGGAAACTGGTATAAGAAAAGGTCTATAAATACCTAGGAGTCAGCGAAAGAGTTGGAATAGAGCATAACCAAATGAAGGAGAAAGTAAGAAAACAAAACTACCGGTGTGTGTGTGTGTGTGTGTGTGTGTGTGTGTGTGTGTGTGTGTGTGTGTGTGTGTGTGTGTGTGTGTGTGTTAAATACCGAGTTGAATTCACAAAACAGAATATCAGCCATAAACACTTAAATACATAGATACAGTTTCAATATGCTTAATTGGATAATAACTGACAATAAGCGAATAGGTGTCAAAACGGGAACGCGTCTCACTTGCTACCGCATGCATCATCCTAAGGCTTGTGTTGTTCATCTGTATGTGCCCAAATCCAAAAGAG